GTTGTTCGATACAAATTTTCCTTCTTTGCGCCAAATCGCTTAGAGCACTTGACAAAATTCGGTTCCGATTTTGGTGTCCGCATCCATTAGAAATAATGATAACGCGCTCTGTTTAAAGTGGCAGGTTTTGACAGTAATCTATTAAAAAAGATGTGAATTCATTAGCAGTAACATTACAATCTGCTTCGTGCCAAAAGTAAATTGTCACGTTTTTGGATAGCACGTCATAAACCATAAAGTTATCGCATTGTAATTTTAATTTGTAGTACAATGCACTAGCCAATAGCTTTGGAGCAAGCAAAACACTTTGAACGTCAACTGTTATAACCACAACCTTTTCGTTTGTACTAGCTACGGCTTTATTTTTGGCTTCACGGGCTTCAATTTTCTTCACAATATGGCTATCATATTCTTCTTTGGAAATGTTACCAGTTTTATAACTACAGCACGTGTCGCACTGGTCTTTGCGAGGATGGGAATGCCGATATTTTCTTTAGTTATTACCTTCGAAAATGTCTTTCTAGAGGCAGCTCTGTAATGGTTTTCAATACACCACTCTTTAAAAACCTGATACATGTGGAGTTCAGATCTAAAAATCGATTCAACATAAATTTTTTTTGAGCTAGACCAACAATAATCGCTGGGCACTTTTGGTAAAATATCCAGCCATGTTTTAACAGTTCTTGTCAATTCAACGTTCCTTCCTGGCCTAGAAATACTATTTGAACTTGATGCAGCATTTTTTACAGGTTGTTCCTCAATATTTTCTTCGAAAGTATCAACCTCTCTAGTCCAGCGACGAAAACTGTCTTCTCCAATGCAAAGAGTATTAAGAAAATATAATTTACACACTCTCACTCTTGTGCATTTTGCGTCCAATTTATTGATGAAGATATGGCCACTTTGTTTTTTGCTTGTAAGCCTCTGTTGAGATTTACGTCGTCGTCTTATACGCCTTCTCACTGCTGATGCTTTTATAAACGCCATCTTCTCAGGCCAAGGCTTGAGCTTCCAAACATTTTTATGAATTTGTTTACGTTATTCATTAGATACAAGAGCACAAAAAAAGAATTTTTAGATTTAGGAACTACACACGTGTGTAAGCAACGTGGTTTCAAAACTCTTTCAGGCTTCTTAACGCACGCTGTCCATTTGTCAGCTAACTTTTTATACCCAAGGTACGATTTACCGGCAATCCGGGCTTCTTTATTCAGTTTAACGGTGCACGAAATGTGTACAGATACAGAGGTATTGTCATCAATATTCTCGGGAAATGATACCCCACTAATACTGTCATCACCATCACTATCACTATTATCACTATCCAGAAAAGGCAAGATCCTTCGTCTTCTTAAAAATAAGTTTCTGTTTCTTCGTAAATCTTGCACAGACAACGACCTAATATTTTCATTGCTGTCCAAATGTTCTTCAACCTGGCTCTACAATGGATGAAGAATCCGCCTTCGCCGCGAAATCACTGGGACCCAATCTGGACTATCATCACTGTTATCGCTCAAATTTTCAAAGATAGGTGTTGGTGATAGCATTTGTTTCAATTCAGATGTAATACCCGGGTCTTCAATGGCATGAAGTATGCTGATGCTACGATCAGATGAAGCATTCGTAACGTCATCTTCAGACGCAATACCCTGATCTTCAGCGGCATGGAGTATGCTGATGCTTTGATTGGATAAATCTTCCGTAACGTCATCTTGATTATTTAATCCTGAAGATATTAAGCCCAAGTCTTCAGGCGTAATAAGGGAACCGCTAGAACAGGTTTTCACCTTAGGATGTTCCCCAGAATCATAAAAAATACTTGATTCAGAGTCACCTGTATGTTGCTGATTAACTAATAACTCAATCTCACTTGGACAGAGCGGTTTACTCATTTTTTAGTGTTACACTCACAAATCGAATAAACTTTCGTTTTACTCAACGCGGAACAAGTAACGACCTAACACGCGCTGACAAAATACATTAATACCTATAAGGAGTGACATCTATCATCTACGATTGGAGAATAATTACACGATTTATCTATCTCGCTTGTCCCCGTGATATGTTTGCTCTAAAGTCACATAGGTAAATAATTTTACAAATACCCGTCACTCTCGTCGTGCACAATAATGCACATAAGATATTTTGATCTAATAATTGCCTAAAGGTCCCGAGTATGACATATAACTAAAAACTCGTATGTGTACAGTTACACATAAGATATTTTAAGCACCAACTTTTAATTGGGAAGCACATTATAGATCTTGAAATTGGTAAACAATTGACGATTGAATAGACGTACATACATGAGAGTTTTTGCATTCGATAGAGCTTCAAATTGTAAAAAAGACTGGCGTAAAAAAGTGACATTCGCAAAGACGATAAGTCGGTGATTCACTCTGCTGAATCACCAACTTATATTATGGATGTCTATGTTGCATTACTTGGGTAACATATTTATATGTTGCCTTTGAATTTATGTATTTAAAATATTAAAAAGTTTAATGCATAGTTAAATGATACAGTAACTAAAAGGGAACAGGTGAACATTTTTTTGTTAATTTATAAAATAAAAACACATGTTTCATATTCAATTTACTTTTTTATTGAAAAAGATATAAATTTAATTCTAATTGCGTAATTTGATCATGATCATTCTCTATTTCAAGTTTTAAGTAAAAATTAGTCCTAACTAGAATAACAGGCAAGGCAATCAATTATAACTTAGTATTGTTGTACTCTGGAGAAACGCGTGTTAGCATATTTTAATAATATGTATTGTTATAACTAGTATTGTGGGTAATTAATTATTTTCTTACAATAAGTAGTTTCTTATAATAGTGGGTACATTAATATTTTGGATTTAGTTGAGCTATTTATTTTCGCTCATATTTATAACTGTTATGTAACATTGTTAAGATAATTAAAATAAATGTAAATCATGTTTTGTAATGTAAAAACATACTTAATAATATCCTATTTTATTGGAAACTTGTAACGGAAACCAAACAAGCGGCGCCATCTGTAGTTTAACAATGGTAAATTACAAGCCTATAAAATACAGATGTCGGCGGCTTGTTGGGGGTCTTTTTGGAAGAACTGTTGAGTAGAGAGAACGTACACGGAAGATAAATTGTGAGTATTAATAGCAATTGTTATACTTATTTTGTTATTCTGTGTGTCTAATGTACATTGATGTTATTGTGGATATCTATAACCTTGTTTAGATTTAGTGATATCTTGTACAATTAAGAAAATATATGATATTAGTGATGCATTGAGTGACTTTATTTAACACGCGTAACTAGCCTTTCGCCTTTCTCGATAAAGATTTTCAATACAAATATTTTACTCAATACAGGTTATAAATAATACGTATTGAAACTCATTTATATTTCAGCAGTGATTTGGAAAATAATACTACGTCCTTGGAAGAAAGAACAATAATAAATTAGCTTTTATACAATAAACCGCTTGCCTACTTATAATCTTACAAACAAATACTTATACTGCTATAATTTTTTACCACAGAAAATCATCATGTGTCCTACAGATTATTAACCAGAAACCTAGACGAACGTTATTTACAATAAGTAGTGTCAATTAATTAAGTTGTTTGTCTGTAACAGTGTAGTGACTGTGTAAGAACATCCACTAGCCCATTTCATGCCCTGGGTGTCAGAGATGAAAAGGCACTGATGACTAAGAGAGAAATGAAACAAGAGTTATTTTCTTTATATAAGAATAAGGGTGACAAACGAGCACACGGTCCAACTGATGGTAAATGGTTGCTGTGGCATTTAGACATCTACATCTTTCTTCGTTTGCGAATTAAAATGCAGATGCGTTATCAGCCGTGAGGACTAAGATAGAATGCCTCTTTTCCAGTAAAAAGGGTCTATGCTTCTTTACATTCACCATACCAAACAAAGCAGTATTAAGTTGCTATTTTACGCTGGTATTCTGTGAGAGCGTGGTTCTTCCCCAGTCGAGCCGATCCATTCGTGTTACAACTATGCTATTAATATAGCTGCAGCATGGCTCTACCACGTAAGAACAGCAAGGAGATGGACAGCAGCATCTTCTCGTTTTTGTTATGTCTGTAGCGATCTTTTTATGAAAATCAACCACCCCATATCATCATGAAGAGGCGCTGGTGACTAAGAAAGAAATCAAGCGAGGTATAGGCAACAGTATCATCCTAAAACAACTCAAAATAATAAAAAACTGCCAACACGCTTTCCACGCGTGGCAAATATGGCAATATGGGGGCTATTTCCATAATTATCTATGAGGCAATGATGACTTAATTAATAAAACAAATCTTTCTATAAAAAGTTCTGGGGCGATGATGAGTCCTATAGCTAAAGGTTATGCAACCTCTTTTAATTTCTTCTTCTTGGTCATACAGCCCGTAAAAGTTTACGGCTGTACAAAGACCTCTTCCATTTGGAGTATTTGCTATATTTTATGTCGCAGTAGTAGACTCGCGCTTTTGACACTTGACCCATCGCCGGTCTAGATATTTTACATAAGGCGTAAGCGAGATACCTTCCTCTATCATAAGCCATAAGATCTCTATTCCATTTCCCATGATTGACTCCTACGACACATTTACTCTTCCATGTATCAGTACATTACTGTGAAAGTTCACTGCAGAATATAGCCCGACTCTCTATAGATTACCTTATTAAGGACATTTTGCCATGGTTGCAATTTTGGTAGTCGGGTTGTTCTCTGGTTTTGAGTTGAGTTGTTACCTGGAAGATGCTGCTGCACATCTCTTATTCCACACAATTTTATAATATAAATATATTTATACACATTCATTTAGTAACTTTTATGTTTTGTATATCTGGCAAAAAATTACGTAATAAAATAAATAAATAAAATAAAAATAAAATAAAATAAAAATAAAAATCGTTTATTTCGACCACAAGGATCATAGATGTTAGTAATAATACAAATCTTAAAGCTAATGTTAGTAAACTTGAAACTATTTACCTAATTCTAAAACTATATCTAAGACAGGCCCGATTAGTCAGCACGTGCACCATATGACAATGGTTCAGGTACTGACAATCAAACCTGTCAGAAAATGCTCTCAGGATGCCATTCGAACTGTCCCGCACCCTGCGCACCAGGGATGTGCATCGTTTACGCATGGTGGTGTAGAAACAATCCACACGCGCATCTGCGAACATACCCGATGCACTACAGTAACGAGGCAGACCCAATAGCATCCTGAATGCATTATTGTATTGAACACGCAGGGCATTGTACTGTTTCTGCGTGTAGTCCACCCACAGACTGCTCGTGTAAAAGGACGTGCAGTAAGCTCTGAATAGCGTTACTTTTACAGGGACCGAACAACGAGCAAACCTGCGAGCGATCATGTTCGCTCTAACAGACAATGCCCTGCGCTCTCTCTCTATATCAGCATCGTCTTTCAGGTCAAAGGACACCATATGACCCAGGTACTTAAACTGAGACACCCTTCTTAACGGGGTACCGTATAACTTAATGGGTGGTATATATGAGGGCAAGGCTTTCCCTTTAGCCTGAAAGACCATGCATTCGCTTTTATTAACGTTATAAATCAATCCGTGACTGCGGGCGTAGCTTTCACATATGCTCAACAATTTTGCCAAGCCACAAACAGAAGCACTCAGCAACACCATGTCGTCTGCGTAACTGACGTTGTTGAGGCATACTTCGTCAATATGACAACCGACATGAGTGGTGCTAAGCAACTCTATCAGTGCATTCACATAAAGGTTGAAGAGCTTAGGGGAAGTTAAGCCCCCCTGTCGTACCCCACACTCCAGCCTATATGGCTGCGAATAGGTTTCCGACCATCGCACTACATTGACCTGGTTTCGATACCAAAATTTGAAGATCCTAGTAACTTCTTCAGGCAGTCCAGTATCTTTCAATTTCTGCCATAGGATCTCATAATTCACCAGATCGAACGCCTTGCTAAGGTCCAGAAAACAGGCATAAATAGGCGTTCGTCTAACCGAATAGTACTTCACAGTTTGCTTCAAACATAATATGGCCGACTCTGTTGACAAACCGGGCCTGAAGCCAAACTGATTGTCGTGTAGGCATAAGTGTTTATCAAGCTGGGCGTTAAGCAAACTGTCAAGCACTTTCGCAACAATCGTGGCAAGTGAGATAGGCCTGTAGTTGGACTTATCAGATATGTCCCCAGTTTTGTTCTTCACAATTGGCACCACCACAGTTCTCATCAGAGCCGCGGGCAAGTACGAATGCGCTATACATAAGTTATAAAACATGGCAAGTACCCTAGGTAAGTGAGGACCCGCATGCTTTAGGTGTTCAATACTAAGTCTGTCATGGCCAGGAGACTTGCCACGCGACATAGAACCTATAGCCTTATTGACATCCTTCGCTGTAAATCGGATTCCAATCTCCTGGCCACACGTACCCCAATCTCCTATGGCCTGTGATGGCCCCAACGGTGATGTCACTGTAAAATGCTCTCTAAACATATTCGCTATAAGACCATGATCATTAATACCATTAACGCTCACTGGTAGGCCAGGTTTACTATTTAAATTATTGGTCGATTTCCAAAAATTACGAAAATCATTTTTCGCGTGCTGAGTAGCCAAGATGTCCATTTTTATTTGTTCACTGTGGTTCTGACACCACTTTAAGCGCGACTTAAACAAACTACGACTCCCGTGCATTTCCTCATATATACTACCATTTTTTGGCTTTCCCCACCAAACCCACATTAAAAACTTCGACCTGGCCTCCCTGTGGGCATCGCGTACATATCTGTTCCACCCAACCACAGGCCGCTTGCCAATGCGCGATCTTACAGTGTTGGATTCAGTGGCAGCCACAGATAAAGCGTTTACAATTTCGCTATATAATTTATCGATAAGTAATTTGTGATCAATGCACTTACAAACACAATCACTACAAGAAAGAAATTCTTCGGGAAAATCGAAGGCTCTTAATTTTTCATTACATAATTTTGTATATATCCCGATCTCCTCCGGCTTTCTATCTCCCCATAGAATCTCGTTTGTAACTTTACATACAAAATTCAACTTTGGTTTGACAATATCCAAGTTGCATTCAATAACTAAAGGATAATGGTCAGACCAGTAGACATCATAATTAACATAAACATTTAAAATAGACGATACAGCAGATTTCGTCGCCACACAGTGATCAAGCCACCTTCTCGACCCGTGGACTTCACTTACAAAAGTGTGTGTGCCCGAACTTACACCTAGCAGCTGTACATCTACACATGACCACTCTTGTTCGTCACAAAAACACATCAACTCGTCATAAAACCGCTCATTCGGATGGGCGTTAAAGTCACCAAGGATGTATACAGATTCTACACTACTACTATTAATAATAGCATTCACCGAACTGAGGCAATCAGTAAATTCCGTAAGATTTACCATTTTATCTGTAGGCATGTACACACTAAATACTAAAATGGACCTATCGCCCAGCACTATTTGTATGCCACATATTCGTGGATTATCACAATACATGACCGACACATTTTGGAAAACACTTTTGTTCCAAAGCAGCCCAACGCCCCCATAAGGCCGGCCAGAAACCATGCCCGCCGCCGAATCCATTGCAGATGTGCCCGTGCTGCCGAAACGCTTATCAATCCCGCTAAGAAACTGAATATCGTGTCCAAATAACCAAGTTTCTTGAAGTGCTATCACACTCGCCGACTGACACAAAAACCTGACATCGTCAACTGAGCGTTTTATACTTCTACAATTGAAGCTGACTAACTTACAGTTGAGACTTTTATCCATTGACAGTAGGGATAGAGCCGTTCACGGTATTCACCACTACACCGTTCGTGCCACTACTATTATTTCGCCTGAAGTTGACAAATCGCCGGAATATAACTCCCTCCGGCCAAAGTGTTGCATCTAAAAATATTTTTATTTTCCGCTCTGATACAAAAAATTTGAACGCGTTATAATCCTTGTTTCCTCTCAAAAAAGAAATCTTTTCAAGTTTAATGTTTTCTTGCGTCTTATTGTAAACGTATTCCGTTATATCCTTCTCCGTCGTGTCTTTGTGCACCATAGTAATAAAAATTGGAACTTTTCTGTCCGCGGCTTTAAAATTACAATTCTCGTCATTGGAAACACCCGCGGCTCCCAGATAACGATACGATCTCGTTTTAGGTTTCCGACGCTGTACAATGTTCCACTCGCCCTCTGTCTTAGTCACCTCAGCGAACGATAACACACCCGCCGGTCCCGCAGCTGGACCCGCAGGCTCGACAGCTGGCCCCGCTTGCCCCGCTGACCGGCTCGGTGCTGCCTCGCAGCTCGGCTGCGCGCTCGGAGCGCTCGGCGCGCTCGCCGCTCGCGATGACACATCACTCGCCCCGCCCGCGCCGCTAACCTGTTCCACGCTGCGTGCGCCTATCCCGTTCGAGGCACGTGATTTATAACTTCCAAACGTACTATTCTCCATATAATTTATGTTTCTATAATTTAAATTATGATCTCTCGGAGATGACGCTTCAACATCGTGATGATCGCTGTGATTTGTAATGATCGTATCATCAAATTGAGACAGTCCTATGGGCCCACTGTCTCGATAAGCGCCTCTTCTCATGTTCACCTTTGCAGCTGAGAAGGGCGGTGATGTATGCCTGAGACTTTGACACTTCGTTTTCACTTTTTCTAGCTGGTCGATGGTTGCGTATGATGACTTAATGTTTTTTATCTCAGCCTGCACTACAGCTAGATCCTTAAGTAGTTTTGAGACGTCAAGGTGATCGAAGGTAATCGGAGGTAACTTATCTAAGTCTCTCGCTACGAACACTGGCAAAACATCAGGGTCGGTGCCCTTAAAAAGGCTGATTATATCGTTTAAAAAACGGTTCTCTTTGCCTTTTCCCTTCCTCGTAGTTTTACGCAGATCCTGCGGTATGGAATCCACTAGTAATTTATTCGCCTGCTCGATCTCCTCAGACGAAAACGTCGCAGCACATATCCTCACAATACTGTCTTCATCAGCTACAGACAATTTGTTCTGTACATAACATAATAATTCACATATGACAATTCTACAGTTATTGCACGATACCGTCATTTTTCAAAATAGCACCGCCGCCGTACATAAGATACACTGTAATAAAATGTAATGAAATTGACTTGCCAAAGTAAGAAAAGCCGGGAAATTAAAATTTAATTTATTCAAAATTGGTGAAATTTTTTATATTTTCTACCGACTTCAAATAGGAGACGGTACTCAATTCGACTGTATGTTTTTTTATGTGTGTTACCTCATAACTTTTTACTGGGTGAATCGATTTCGATGATTCTTTTTTTATTTGTAAGCTGGTGCTTCTCATGTAGTTTTGATCAAGATCTGATCAATCGTTTTTGAGTTATTCTTAATAATTTATATTGAAGTCAGTTGGACAAAAATTTTAATTTTATATTATATAAAATTAAGAGACACACGTACTTACTTTTTATTATAGAATTAAAATTCTACATTATTCTAACATTTAATATTGTTGTATACTTAACCTTAGACAATTATATGTATATCCCAATATTGTGAATCTTTTAAACAATGAACTCGATACTAATCAATTCCGATTTTGCAGACGTTCAATGAATTTTGCAATTGTTTTTAATGCATTTCATTAATTTTTATGTGATATTTCTACACCAAATTAAACGGTAGGATATGTTGGACATTATTTTAGTTATGTAGCACATATTCACACACAGTCTACCTGATAGTAAGTGTATGCTGTGGCCCAACGACACCTATGTCTATCCTCGATCAAGAATTCGAATGATCTGCGATGTTATCTTTGAAGACTAAAATGGAATGTTTTGCTAGCAGTAAGAAAGGACTGCGTTACTTATGCTGCTCCTCATACGAACATTAAAAATTTGGTCCCCTATTTTCCCACCCTTAGGGTTGGAGTTTTTTTTCATCAATTTTGACGAGACCGCCCTTCAGGTATGTCCTATTTAATATAAAATATGATAAAAATCTGATCACAATTGAAGAAGATCTCTTTTTTTTTATAGGAGAGGGGGCAAACGAGCATGCGGCTCACCTGATGGTAAGTGACTACCGCCGCCCATGAACAACCGCAACACCAGGGGAATTGCAGATGCGTTGCCGGCCTTTTAAAAAGGAGTAGGCTCTTTTCTTGTAGGTCCCTAAGTCGTATCGGTCCGGAAAAATCGCTGGTGGTAAACTATTCCACAAGGAAGTTGTGCGAGGAAGAAAACATCTTCTAAATCGCACAGTGGTGGACCGCCAATCATCCAGATGGTGTGGATGGTATCGGAAATTCTGCCGCGATGTGCGTTCGTGAAATTTGGCGGCTGGGATTAATCCGAACAATTCCTCAGAGCACTCCCCATGGTAAATGCGAAAGAAAATGCAAAGAGATGCAACATCTCTTCGCAGTGCTAATGAGTCGAGCCGATCGGAATGGACTCGGTTGTCGACGATTCGATCCGCTCTGCGCTGGATGCGGTCAAGTGGAAGGAGCTGGCACTGGGGAGCCCCAGCCCAGAGATGAGAACAGTATTCCATGTGAGGCTGAATCTGCGCCTTGTAAATTTGCAGGCGGTGAGCTGGCATGAAATACTCTCCCGCTCTGCTGAGCACGCTAAGCTTTTTAGAGGCCAATTTGGCCTTCTCTTCCAAGTGACCACGAAACTGCACGTCACTCGATATGTCGACGCCAAGGATTCCGATATTGGCTGAGGCAACAAGGGGAGTACCTTGAAACTGAGAAGATACGATAAAGGGGTTCTTTTTAGCGGTAAACGCGCAAACTTGTCTTCTGAGGATTAAACTGGACTAGATTTAGTCGCCCCCAATCCGAGACTTTGTCCAGCAAAGACTCGACTTCAGACACAAGTTTGTTCCGGTACTCGGTGACGTTTTCCCGAGCAATATTGGCACGGCCGGTGTATAGAGCATCACCAGTGCTGTCATCCGCATAGCAATGAACGCTACCGGCTTGCAACATATCATTGATATGCAGAAGAAACAGCGTTGGTGATAGCACACAGCCTTTTGGAACACCAGCTTTAATAGGCTTGTAGTCGGAGCATGCACCGTCTACAACGACCTTGATGCTCCGATCTGCAAGAAAGCTGGTGATCCAATTGCACAATTTCTCGGGAAGCCCATATAAAGGGAGCTTCGAAAGAAGCGCTTTGTGCCAAACCCGATCGAAGGCCTTCGCAATGTCCAAACTAACGGCCAATGCCTCCCCCTTGGACTCAACTGCCTCCGCCCATCTATGAGTTAAGTAGACCAGAAGATCACCAGCTGATCGACCCTGACGAAAACCGTACTGGCGGTCACTAATCAGCTGGTGATCCTCAAGGTACCGCATGAGGTGGCAGTTTATAACGGATTCCATTATTTTGGAGAACAAGGGGGTGATGGCGATAGGCCTGTAGTTGGACGGGTCTGAGCGGTCGCCTGTTTTAGGGATCGGGTTGACAAAAGATGTCATGATTTCGGGACTACGCCTAGGGAGTAGGAGTACCGAAAAAGACGCGTTAGAATCGGTGCCAACTCCGGAGCACACGCCCTCAGCACAATTGGGGGGATTCCGTCAGGCCCACTCGACTTGTGGATGTCAAGGGAGAGGAGTGCTCTGCGAACCGAGCGCTGTGAGAACCGCACATCCGGCATGGAGCACTCACACCGGGGGATGGTCGGCGGTGTGTTCCCCCCGTCATTAATAGTCGAGTTGGACGCAAAAAGGGAGCCTAAAAGGTCGGCTTTCTCTTTTGCGTCGTGGGCCAGTGAGTCATCCTCCCTGTGCAGAGATAGTAATGATGGCTTACAGAAATTCCCTTGGACAGCCTTGGCGAGAGACCAGAATGCACGGGTTCCCGAAGGAAGGCGAACTAGTTTCTCGCCAATTCTGCCTATGTGCTCTGACTTTGCCTTGGCAATAACTCTTTTGAAGGACCTGGAGGCGAAGTTATACTTCTTTTTAAGTGTGCTGGTGTTTACATCCCGAGTCGCCGAAGCCGCAGCCCAGGCTTGATAACACTCCTGCTTACTGCGTAATGCAGTCTTACAGGAGCGACCAAACCAAGGCTGAGATCTGCCTCCAATGGGTACCACAGATGATGGAATACGTAGTTCCATTCCCTGTAGCACCACATCAGTGACAGAGTCAGTAACAGCGCTGGGATCATCCGGTGAGAAGCAAACCCGCCCCCATGGGTAGGAAGCAAAGCAAGACCGCATTCCGTCCCAATCCGCCGACCTGTAATGCCAAACACGGCGGCAACCTGCAGAACGCAACCGCGAGGGGAGCGTGAGTGGCACCACACTCCGGATCAGACAAAGGTCCGAAGAGCCAAGAGGGGCATCGACGGAAACCTGATATCCGTCCGGATGAGAGGTCAGCAGAAGGTCCAACAGGGAAGGTGTATGATCCTCAACATCTGGAATCCGCGTAGGCGATGTAACCAGTTGTGTCAGACCATATGCCAAGGCAAAGTCATAAACAGATCTCCCCGCATGATCAGTTAAACGTGAACCGAGCCATTCGGCGTGGTGGGCGTTAAAATCGCCAAGGATCACGATCTCTGCGGATGGGACCTGTTGTAGCAAGGAATCTGTAGACATTTGGACGTGGTCGATGAGTCGGTCTGTTTCGGCATTACCGCTATGGGACCTATAGAGGCACACGTAGACGCGCGGATGGTCGTCGTTGTCTACGCGTAGCCAAAGGATGGACAGGTCCGAACCTTCAAGACTGCCGAGGCGTCGAGAACAGATG